TATCAGTATCAGTATCAGATACTCAGTAGTATCATCAGTATCAGTATCAGTATCAGTATCAGATACTCAGTAGTATCATCAGTATCAGTATCAGTATCAGTATCAGATACTCTGTAGTAGTATCAGTATCAGATACTCAGTATCAGTATCAGTATCAGTATCAGTATCAGATACTCAGTAGTAGTATCAGCAGCAGATATGGATATTTTTTGAAAATCGGGTAGAATCAGATTTAGTCATGTGATCGGGCCGATCCAGTTTTCAGCATCATCATGATTTACAACTGCTGTTAAGAAGTCAAGACGCACACAAGTACACAACCATGTCCACAGTGTGGGAACACTTTTCAATGGAAAACAATGATGCTGAAACTGCATCTTGTAAAACCTGTAAACTGGATGTTTCTCATGGTGGAACTGCAGGGCTCGCTTTAATACTACCACCTGTCACTTGGAAAGAAATAAAGAAATAAAGAAATAAAGCTATCGGATCGGTATCAGAAAGACTAATCATTAAAAAAATCAGACTGTATCAGGAGACAAATAAAATGGATTGGGACATCCCTAATTCTAACCCTGCCAGCTCAAACATTCATTCAGCTGATGACTGAATAGTTTATCACCCAGCCCTAATAGACATGAAGTTATTTATTGTTTTAGTCTTTTACAGCTGATTTACATTAGAGCCAATACAACTTATTTAACTCAAACACATTTAGAGGTTATCTTCCTGAAACTCATCTAAAATCTGATGTTTTATTTCTTTTGTTTTTCAGAAAAATCCAATGAAAAACAATTAGAATTTACACAGATCAGATTCTCAACTAGTCATTTCTCTGATTCTCTCCCAGGATGTGTTCTTGATATGCTTCTCCCTGGTCAGTCCGGCCTCCTTTGAGAACGTCCGAGCTAAGGTCAGTACGCTGACTGACCACCTTGCCCCTGGTACCCCCCTCCACGCCGAGTCTGACCACTACGAGGCACATCTATGGCTCCTGGTTTTTGGCACACCACTCCGCCCACTCAGGCCTCGTCTTAGAGTGCTCGGGATCTTACCCGAGTCCCCGTGAGGACGGAGGACAAAGAGACATTGTAAGACGAGGCCTGAGGGAGCGCTGACACGCTGCAGAGGAAGCATGAGGGCCAGCCGTGGTTTGGTCTGCTGAGCGTCATGAGACGCTCTCATATGAAACCACACAGTGAACCAGGTCCCAGCACCCCCTGCAGAGTGTCTGTTAGTGGTGTGATCTCTTCCTGTGATTGGAGGTCATTTTATTAAAGGAATCCCCAATTAGTTGTAACATTAAACTTTATTTGATAAACATATATTTTAACTGTAAAATAAAGACTGTAAAAATACTGTAGGATGTTTAGTTTNGGTGCAGCTGTTTTTGTGCTACGGTTGACCAAAAATCACTGAAAAAAAGGAAACAAAAAAGAAACCGTATGAAAACAATATGACTCCCACTTAAGCTTCGTGTGTGGGGGTCATAATAAATACAATTTAAATGCATAAAATCATGTCAGCGAAGATGATGAACCAGGATCCTTAAAGTAAAAGGGCTGCCACGTCACATAGGGTACGCGTCGTTAACACTGGACGGCGCTGGCCCCTCTTTGTTCTCAGGCGAGGGGGAGCAGAGCATGGATGTGTGTTGAGGGAGTGAGAGTCATGAGTTCACGAGTCTCAAACCACGAGTTCAAGTCAAGTCTCAAGTCTTTAGGGTCCAAGTCAAGTCTAAGTCTCTAATAGTAGGGACTTAAGTGCGACTCAAGTCTAAGTCCAAGTCACGAGTCCCCATCTTTGCCACCTATAGTACAGATTTGCACGATGTGTACACAAATACAGGCCGTCATTTTCAAAAACTGGCAGCACAAATTGGACACACAGCTCTCTGGTTGCAAACTCTCAGAAAATAAAAATTCACATATTCTCTTCTAATTTCCTCAAAATTCTCTGCGGTCAACTCATCTCCAGCGTTCCCAAACCAGACCCTTCATGAAGACCACAAACAGGATCAGAGACTAGAGACTAATTCTAACTAGGGATGTCCCGATCAGATACTCAGTATCAGTATCAGTATCAGTATCAGATAATCAGTATCAGTATCAGATACTCAGTAGTATCATCAGTATCAGTATCAGATACTCAGTAGTATCATCAGTATCAGTATCAGTATCAGTATCAGATACTCAGTAGTATCATCAGTATCAGTATCAGTATCAGTATCAGATA